TTGGATTGATTATGTTATTTATTAAACTATAATAAAATAAATATTTTTCATAACAAAATATTTTTTTTCATCAAAACGATTAAAATTTCACCGAAATACAAATTTTATATAGTTACAATTTTATTTTATTTTATATCTTTTCTATATTATTATTTATTATTAGTATTTAATAAATTAATTAAATTATAGAAATCATACAAAAATAACTAGAAGGGTACTCGTACAATGCAACGAGATGCATTTTGATTTTAATGTTTCGTTTTTTTGTCTCAATTGATGTTATAATTACAGATTTATGTGGTTCAGAGAAAACGATAAATGTTTTATTTTTGAATAAAATCTAAATATCATAAAAAATTAAAAAATATATATATTGATATCAGTAACAAACTAACTATTTAAAGTTTCATATTTTTTGTGTATTTTTTAATTCATTTTTGATTTTTGATTTGATAATATAATTTGTATAAAGACAATAATTAAGTATTTTGTTAGAACTCAATGATTATTTTAATTATATTTTAGATTTTTTATATTTAAAATGAAATGATTATCCACTATTTGATTATATTTATTTGCAGTCAGTCACACGAATTCATACATGAAACTTTAATAAGTTATAATTACGCATAATTTACTTGTAATCTTGAATTTTAAATAATATGTATAAATAAACAGTGCTGCATACATAAAAAATAATTTTTAAAAGTTTTTATCAAATGTTTTAAATATAATATATATATTTTAAGGATAATAAAATAAAAGTTTAAATATCATAAAATACAATAAATTATTATATCGATCCTTAATTATTAGGATTCCATCAAATGACATGAATGTGTTTCAAGTGACATTTTTTAAATCACTTTCGAGCTTCTACAACTATTTTTTTTAGTGGCATTTTTGTCAATTTAAATAAAGTAATGTTAAACTGTTTTTTAGATCATGTTTATAATTTCTTATTAATTATGCACGTTTTTATAGATGCTTCCTATATGACTTATTCATAGTAGTTTGGATTAAAATTTGCAACAACGTATTTTAATTTGATTCTTATTTTAGTTAACGTACTTTCAATTTTTCATTTTGGCATCCAATATCTAAAATTTTAAACTTTTAAGTACCCACGTAACTGTTTGAAGCATAAACCGATTACCATGCTAATGTGGCAAGTGATGTCGTATTCAAATCAAAAATCGGGTTTTGGATTTTCAGATTTCAAATCATTTGAGTTTTACATCATCATACCCAAGAGACAACAAGCAACATTTGTAGCTTGATTGAAGAAATTGTAACTGTAAGGGTGTGATTTGAAACTTTGGGCAATTTCAAGGACCAGAAATATAAATAAAATACGTATTCCGTTGCCGGGACTTGAACCCGGGTCTTTCGGGTGAGAGCCGAATATCCTGACCAACTAGACTACAACGGATTTGGCGACTTTGAAATAGAAAATAAATAATTCAACCTAATTATTTAATTAATTTTTAATAGATTAATTCCATGTAAATTAGTTTTTTATTATATCCAACCTGCTATGCGACCACCTGCTTTGTATATAGCCTAGAGTAATCGGATTTGAACCTGAGACATTCAAATACTTTTGACCTTTGGAGTCAAACTCAAACCAATCATACACCACCCTTGTGGTTATTTTATTAATTCAAAGACATGTGAAAAGGTATTATAATTTCATTATAACGCTTTTAGATATTATGTTTCATTGTTTGATACTATAAACTCAAGTTTCATACAATAGTTTATGACGACTTCTACACATTTTTTACATCGTATAAACCTAATCTTGTTTCACTGATATCTTCACCTTTGAACGAGAACCTATAGTTTGATTTTGGCGGCATAGAAAGTCAAAGATGACGTCATTTTCTAATAATAAACGTTTATTGAAAAGTGTAACATGCATAAAAGTCATCGGATCTGATATTATCCATTTAGGGGGAGTTCATTGTCAAACTCATTAAATGGGTGTAGGGCAGTTGACGTTTTTAGGAGAACAATTTTTTAGGAGAAGGTTTGAGATAAGGGAGCGGAAAAGGGTAGGGTAGGGAAAAGTCACTTAATGGATTTATCTCATTCCACATGGTTGCCCGACTAAGCAATATCCTTAACAACTAAGGCAGAGTTTGGTTTAAACAGACCTCAATTTAACCTAGAATGAAAATTTGGGCTTCTGGAGGAACGAACTCGTTATATCATAAATAAAAAAAAACAAACAGTTTCTTTTATTTTATTATCATTAATTCTTACTTAATAGTTAATACCTCTTATTAAACATCCCTTAAGCTATAAAGAAACATTTATGGTTGACTTGTCAATAAGCCTGTTGGTCATCAAGCCTACAGAATAAAGTACGAACAAGCCTTAAATTGATATTGGTCAGTTTTGGATAAGAGAGTGAAAACGAAACAAAAATCAGCTTAAATTACCATTTTCCTTATTCATATTGCCTCATAAGCATTTGTTTCTCAGGTTGATTTAAATGTCACTACATCCGCAATACCTATTGCAGACCTTGCTAAAATAAAAAATAAAAAAAATCAAATTCAACTGGTTTATCGTCGCAATTGTGGACTTGGACCATCGCAATGCGGAACTGGAAGTCATGATTGCGTATTTGTGTTGAATTTTTGGTCTTTAGCTGGATATTGCAGACGTAGTGATATTTGGGTCAATCCGGGAGATAGATGGTTAGAAGACCAATTTAAATAAAGGAAATGGTCATTTAACTCGAGGGCTAAAAAATAAAATGATTTAACATGAAAAATGTTAAATGTCTCGGTTATTATTGGTAATTAAATTAATTAATATTAAAAAATTATTCAATAATTAGTATTTTTAGGCAATTTTTTTGTTGTTATATATAGATGTATATATAAACAAACTATCATATGACCTATCCTATTTGGTGTTTTTTGAAGTATATAATTTTTATATATGACGAATGCAACAAATAAACTCACACGCTTGCCTCACTTTTAGTGAATTTTAAACCCTCTGACATTCTAGAAGACCAAATACTACAATACCACTAGGGCAAAGACACATTGGTCTTATATTTGGTGTTTAATTACATAATTTATCAAATAAACAAATTTATAATTAGAATAATTTGAAACTCAGTTCAGTCTTTAGTTAACATTGTGCGATGACAAAAGTCAAATATAATAGCAGGTCTGATCGCCTTCGTCTAACTTCCATAATCAATATAGGTTGCTAAGAACTTTAATATAAACAACGAACATTAAATAAATTATGTTATTATATATTATCCATTCAAGTGTCGTTGTTGTCAAGGAGATCAGATTTTCTTCCACCTCTCGTCACCTTCACTTTCACCAGTTTTCACATAACTTTAGTCAATTTTCACATGCATGAATACGTAAAATGTTTTAGTCGTGGTAAAACAAGTACATATGTGAAGGTAAATGAAAGTGGGTGAAAGACTGTAAATGCAGGTGACGGAGGTGGATGAAGGTCTATTTACACATATATATCATTCTTTATCTTATCAACTAGAATAACCTGCAAACCTTTTGAAAACATAAACAGTGAATTTATTGACTGGGTGTCACATTAATCTTTTACACAATCGTTAATTTTGATATGATATACGAGTTCAGACTTTTACGTGAGTCTTATTTGGGGTATTGAAGTAAAATGGATAAAAGTTTTTTAAATTTAATGTTAACATTTTCTTTTAATGATATTATATATATATATATATATATATATGTATGTATATGAACTAAAATTAATATATATACACATATCGGGCCAGGCCGGTGATCACCGCCCCCGTTAAGATTTTCCTGAGTCCGACCCGAAAGGTTCCCGTTTTCGATTTTCAACATCGTTTTTTTTGGCATCTCTATAGATAATTAATAAATAAGAGTTAATATTCATTATTTTTGTTGAGACCTAGTTTTACGAAGGCCATGTGCCTATAAAAAGGCACAATCAAGCCTCTAATATTTTATTTTGTAATTAAAAAAACATGAAACCGGTACCTTTACCAATAAATGCACATAAAAAACCGTTTAATTCCATCAAAATCAGTATTAAAGTTGTCACAAACTGATGTAAATCAAATAGCACACGTTTCTATTAAAATGGTTAAAGTTACATGCATCCCTATTCTATGGAACGATTGAATGAGAATATAAATGAAAAAGGGAAAAAAAATACATAAATAGGTTTAAAATGAAAATAATAAAATCCCGGATCTGAAAAATACAATTTTGAGAAACCTAAGAAATTGTACTGAAGATGCTCTAAAACCCCCCCTTTTGCACTTCTTTTGCCACCTCATTTATAACTCATTAAATTAAGACTCATATAAAAGTCCACAATTGTAGTTTTTATAAGAACCTGCCTTTTGTAGGTCCCATATATTTTTTAAACATCAGTAATTATATATATATATATATATTAATAATTACAACGTCAATAAAATATATAAAAAAATATGAAATTGTCATTTTTCACAAACTTCATGGTAAGAACTGACGTTTTTGTATAAAAACTCAAAGGATGTAAGGTTTTTATAAAAGCGTTCAGTAATGATAGTTTTTAAAGTATCATCAACAATTTCTTTAAAATAAAAAAAATAAAATTTTGAACCAATATTTTGTTCCAACAGTTTTTCCAAAACTATTTTTAAGATAAAAAAATTGGAGAATAATTTTTTCTATAAATATAGAAAATACCTCAAAAAATAATTATTAAATAAGATAATAAACTTTGAAAATGAATATTTTGAAAAAAATAATAATATTTTGAAATATTTTAATATTATAATTAATAAAATTTTGAACTTTTCACCGCGCAATTACTGCGAGGTAATTGATTGATGGACCAAAGTTTGACCCGTCAAGGACCCAATAGTAAAAGCCGGCGGTAATTGATTGGTCAAAATATCGGGTCAAATAAGCCAACTACACATCATGCATCATACATACATACATACATCATCATCATCCATTATGCAGGCATTCAACAAAATGCAAACAACCCCTTCCCGTATAAATTCCCAGCATTTCCTCCATTTTCCATCTCCAAATCGATTCCCCTAAACCATCATAACATTAACCTTCGATTCAAATGGGTGTGGTTAGTTTCAGAAACCTTTACCTTCAATTCCTCTTCAACAATTTGATCTTCATCATCAAACACGGATTAATTTGTTTTTTGTTTTGAATTTTGTAGCAAAAGGATGATAAGAAGAAGGGTGGCGGTGAGAAGAAGCTTGAAGATGGAGGCGGTGCAAAGAAGGCCGACGCCGGCAGCCTCACCGTCGTGTTAAAACTCGATTTGCATTGCGATGGATGTGCTAAAAAAGTAAAAAAATCCATCCGCCACTTCGAAGGTACGAAACGCATAGTAACAAATCTCGAAATTGTATCGATTTGAATCGCAATTTCTCACTGCGTAGATCTGTTTGTGCGGTTACTGATGGTAGATCTCTGGTGGTTTGAATGTAGGTGTGGAGAGTGTCAATGCCGATATCGCCGGAAACAAACTGACGATTACCGGGAAGGTCGATCCTACGAGCGTCAAGGAGCGAGTGGAACACAAAACCAGGAAGAAAGTGGAGCTTATCTCCCCTCAACCAAAAAAGGACGATAAGAAGGTGGATGATAAACCGTCGGAGAAAAAAACCGATGACAAGAAGGCAGGTGATAAACCGTCGGAGAAAAAATCCGACGGCAAGAAGGCAGGTGATAAACCGTCGGAGAAAAAATCCGACGACAAGAAGGCGGATGCCAAAAAACCCGAGGTACAGCTAATTGATTGATTGATTAATGACGAAATTAAGAGTGTAATTAATGCGTTTTAATTAACCAATAAATTTTATTTGATGGTAATTATAGATTCAAGCGAGCACGATCGTGTTGAAGATTCCACTTCACTGTGAAGGATGTGTACACAAAATCAAACGAACTGTATCAAAGATCAAGGGTGAGTTCTCATCTGAGTTGAAATTAATTTTAAATTAGGGTTTACGGGCCGTTTGGAATTGCTTATTTGAAACAAAACACTTATCAACTTATTATAAGTCAGAATGGTTTAACTTATTCAAACACTCCTTATTACCGGTTTGGCACCGGTATAGGTTGTTTATCCAAACACTCAAAAGTGCTTATTAGAACTATTATGAATAAATCGACGTTAATGAATTTGGTAAATCACACTAGAAAGTAGGGTCTTTTCAAGAGTTTGTTTGTCGTAAGAGGACTCACAACTTATTCGGTTAGCTATACGTCACTCTTTGGTAACGGCTTAATAAAATGACTTATTCTGTAAGCTTTCAAGGGAGTTCCACAGACAGATTAATCCTAACATCTATAACTTTATCAATACAAAACTTAATAAAATATCGATCAAACAACCCATTAGATGTATGCAACTTTTCCTTGATTCCAAAGGGTAGAAAGACCCTTTTTTCGTGATCATGGATGACAACTTTTTTTTAATGACCCAAGTAAAAAGCGTTCTGATATTGTGTTAAGTTGATATAGAATATTTTACTAAGTTTTGAATAAATGTTGGTTTTGTGAACAGGGGTAGAATTGGTAATACCAGATGTGGGCAAGGATTTGGTCACTGTGAAAGGGACAATGAACGTGAAGGAATTGACACCGTACTTGAAAGACAAGTTGAGAAGAAGTGTCGATATTGTCCCTTCCAAAACTGATGAGAAAAAAGACGACAAGAAAGAAAAAACTGATGGAACTGATAAGAAAGAGAAAGTAAGTGGGGGCGACGGGGAGAAGAAAGCGGTCGGGGGCGATGTTGCAAGTAGGAGCATAGAGGTGGTCAACAAGTTGGAATATTATGGACAAAATCCATACACATATACGATGCCGACATATAATCAGGGTTATTACAATCAAGATTACGGGGTTTCAACTTCTTCCAACCATGGTTATATTAACGATGGTTATGTTAACCATGGATACGCCATGCAGTACCCAAACGAACCTCCACGGCCGCCTCCCATGTACCTTCATGACCCTCGTGTTCCGGATACGGGGATGTTCAGTGATGAAAACCCTAATGGTTGTTCGGTCATGTAAACCAACAATTTAAAAACCCTGATAATGAATTCACAATATTAACTGTAAATGAACTAATTAAGTTCATGACGAGCATAAAGCACAAGTCTAGATCAACGTGTCGTAGTCAAAATTATTCGACCTATTGGCTTAATAGAAGCTCTCGATCGACGACAAATAGAGATAAATTGTTCTAACGGACGATATTAATCGGCTTATACTCATCATGCATTTATTATCCTATTTGGGTTTTATGAATTAATTGTATATTCAATTTTTTTTAAAGCAATGATGTGTTATTCAAAATTTAATTATGTCAAATAGTCCATCTTGTTACGCTAATTTGGTTTTTTTACATATTTCGTCCCTATATTTAGATGTTTTTGACAAATTGTCTCCTTTTTGAAAAATCAAAGGAATATGTTTTTATAGTTGTGTTTTTAGCGACTTATATCCTCATGGTTGCATTTTTTAACGAGTTAGGTTTGTATGGTTGTAGGTTTGTACTGATTTGATCCCTAAACAAATCAGTCGAAAAGCAGAATTTCCGTAGCTTTGCACTTTGCAGAAACATTTTTAGAATTTCTCGCTATTTATTGATATTGTTTAAAAACGATTATTTCTTGATTTTCTTTTGCTAGTCTGGTGATTTTCCTATATAAAAAACTGCATAGTCTAAACCCTCCTAATTTTTTTGTAGGCACTATCACACCAATGGCAAAACTATAAGTGAATAACAAACAAAATAAAATATAAAATTTCATATCATATTAAAAGTTTATAGATTAAAAGAACAAAAATGTTCAAAATGACAGGCTGAGAAAATTTTTGATGGTAAATATGAGCCTCGAAGTTTTAAAGGCTACCTTCAAAAATCAAGATTTAATATGTGACAGATGAACAAAAACATGTTTTTTTTTCTATATACTAGAAGAGTACTCGTGCAATACAGCGTATACATTTTGATTTTTATGTTTTGTCTTATATTTTGGATTTATCGATGTTATAATGCTATTTTATGTGGTATTGAGAAAAAGAAAATGTTTTTATTTTTGAATAAAATATAAATTTGAAGATATTATAATTTTTTTTTAAAAATAATCAATATTATTATTAAATTAATTATTTAAAATTTCTTATTTTATGTAATTTTTCTTAATTTAAGTTTTTATTATAATTTAATTAAAATTTAATAATGAAATAATTTATTTTTAATTGAAAAAATATATTTAAAAAACAATAATTCAATATTGTATTAGAATTTAATGATTACCTTAATTATATTTTAGATAACGATTATCATGTATTTGTTTATGTTTATCTATAGTTAGTTATACGAATTTAAACATGAAACTTTAATATAATGTACTAATAGCACATTCTACTTGTAATCTTAAATTTTAAGTAATATATATCAATAAACAATAATATATATATATATATATATTATTTTTAAATAATTAAAATAGGTGAAAAAAATAAAATAAAATAAACACATATTTTTTACCCGGATTCTTACCCGACCACTCCGGTCCAAAACAATTACAAACCTGAAACCCTTTGGTTGTTTTTCCCTCCCGACTCCTCCGTTGCCGTTCACCTCCTCGACCTACAAACTCTTCTCTACGCGCAACTCTTCTGATCACCGTCATCACACACAATCATCACCATACCATCCACTTTTCATCCCTTTTTCCTTTTTCTTCTTTTCAGGAAGAGAGTAAATTGCAAGCGAAAGAGGGAGTTTCTTTTGCTGATGTCCTAAAACTGATTTTGTGTCTCATCACTAGATCCCTAAAAAAATTCGGTCGAATCGCATCGTTTTTCGGTCGAATTTTCATCTGGGTATCCATTCACTTTGCAAATTGTTGATGAATTTTGGTGGGTTTTGATGGTGACCGCGGGTTCGAATAATCAAGACGATGTTGGGGAGAAAAACCCATCATCAGTTGTTTCCAAAGCAGGAGGTGGGGCGACGCGGTCCTGCGGCACCACTGGTTCGGGTCAATCCGTTTCGACAAGTGGCAGTGTCGGGTCTCTTTCGACCCGGAGTGAATTGCCCATGGTGGGTACCCCTGTTAGTGAGAGCACATTTTTGAGGCTGAATCATCTTGATATTCATACTGATAATGCTGGATCTCAAGGGGCTGCTGGGTGAGCGTTTTTGATTTAATTTCAGCTTTGATGCCCATTTCTTATCATGAGATGCTACATTTCCAATTTGGGATGTTGAATGCTTTCTGAGCTTCAAAAATTGATATGAATTTTATTATTTTGGATGAAAGAGGTTATAAACAATGTTAAGGGGCTGTTTGGTAGGTTTTCCATTAAATCTTGTATTGATAAAGTTGTCGGTGTGGATTAATCGGTTGTACAAAGTTTTTGTTTTTTGGGTGCTTTTTTCCTAGATGGAAGGAAAGTGTTTTTTAATTGGGAGGCCAGGTTAAGAAAAAACTTGGCTTTTTGTATAATGCTTTCTTTTAAAAGCTTATTGAATAAGACAGTTTCTATATCATTTAAGCCACTACCAAACAGTCATGTATAGCAACCGAATAAGCTGTGAGTTCATTAAGCTGCTAACAAACTGGCCTAAGTGTTTAATTTGCAGAAAGAACTTCATAATTAATGGGGTTGATTCCAAAAGTAAGTGTTGGCCTTTTGGGTGACACTTTCACACTTTGTAGTGAGTACATGGTTTTATTTAAAAATCCCGAGAATTTACTAATTTAGCCTCACATTTCTCTTTTGATTTCTTGGAGTTTTGGTGGTTTCTTAGATAAATAGAAGAAGATTTATGACTAGGTATTTGATCGTGATGTTCTTTTGGTTATTCGAAAGAATAATGAAGCTAACCACAATGGTTGTGACGTAGTGGTTAAGGTTCTGGAGGATGTGGTGGAATATCCCATCTGCCTAGGTTTGATTCGAGGCGTGCACAATAATTGTGACTACTGAGTTTATCTGGGCTGATTTCTTGCGGTCACAATTTGCCAGCCTAAGACACCCTTCCAAAAAAAGGAATTAATGAAGCTGCCTTGACGTTTTGCTGAAACAAGCATACTGATCTTTGGGCATGTGAAGAAAATCAAGTTAGCTAGTAGATTTCTTTGAGTAGTTTTCCCTTTCTATCAGCACATTTTGGCTGATAAATGAGGTACTTGAATTATAAATGTGTTAATTAAACGGACAATTTCATGTTTAAGCTACTAACTTTAGCAGGTTAAGCTTAGATATCCATATACACACCTTTACCTGACTTGAATGCAACCTACGTAACTTGTCTACGAATTCATGTGGGGGTGAAAGAAGGAAAGACGAAAGAGGAAGAAATTTTTGATTAGCTCAGCGTCATCATTAATTTAGGAAAACGAGAGGAGACCAAGTATTGATTGATGTAAAGAGTTGTGTTTTAGAAGAAAAGGCGACTTGATTAGCTCAGCGTCATCATTAATTTAGGGAATGCAGTTGTCTTAAAAGGTTCTAAACCGAGGGTTCTATTGAATGAACCTCTGTTTATTTTCGATGGGATATTGATATGGTTCACTTTGGTGGCCAAATCTATATCTAATCTTGAATCTTTGAGTGATTTCATATTATTATTATTATGTAACCAGTTTTGGCCTTTCCTAGTAAGGTTAGGAGCTCTAACATATGCTATTTAAATGTTGCGTTGATCCTAGAGACCTAGAGTTACTGGTAAAGGACACCGAATACGTGATGTTATTTATTAATTTGTTAAATGTAGTTTGCTTTTGATGATCATACTTGGTAATTAGTAGTCAACTGATGAGTAGTTTTGAACAGTAATAAAAAGAAGAAAAGAGGACAACGTGCAACCGGAGGGGATAAAGGTGGTAGAGGACTCCGCCAGTTTAGCATGAAAGGTTTGTTTTCTTTTCTTCTCTTTTGTTGTTTTCCATAACTAAGAGAAGGTCTGACTGTGCAAAATATGATTTGTGGTTCGTGACACGTGGGTAAGCAAGGAGATCATCGGCACACGATTCATTTTCTTGGAATGGTCATCTTAGATATGAAGTTTTTATGCTTCTATGGGTTTTGTCTGTATCAAATAATGTTTATTTTGATTTTTGATACTGCATAGTGTGCGAGAAAGTGGAAAGCAAGGGAAGAACCACTTATAACGAGGTTAGTGGATTCAGCTGTTTGATCTTTTAGTTTCTTTAATATGTTTTACTCGTATTTTGTATCTTTCTTACGAACGAGTCTCTCCCATTACAACCCCCTCTTCTCAAGAAAAGAGAATTCTAAAAGAAATGTTACGTTGGTGCTCTTGAATGTATGGTCTACATTATAATAGAAATTCAACACCTTAAGTAAACGTGCAGAGTCAACGGATTTCTGCCATTGTGGTTGTGGAGGTGGGATGTATGGAGACATGTCCTTCACTCCAAAGGGTAGAACATCTGTTTCTGTGAAGACCCCCCCGGCTTGAAATCATATCATATGATTCTGTGAATTTGACGCAAGATGTTTTTTCCTTATTTGTGTCAACTCTTTTATTGATCCAAAACTTTAGTACACACATAACTACTAACGGTTTTCGGTAATAGGTAAAGATGTAATGGATGTCTAATGGGGCCTAACAATATGAACCCTTTACTTATATGCTTGCTTTCTATGCTACGTATTATACGAAGTTTGTTAGAACAAACTACAGCTAATCTACTGTTCATGAATGCAACATAGTTTATACACCCTTTTCAAATATGAGCAGCGGTTTTTCCGTAAATTCATTTTCTTACTATACATGAAGCTCCACATTTCATCTGTTTCAAAATAGTTGCCGTATAATTTGTGATAAACTGAAAATTGACGTTCAACTCCAGGTTGCAGATGAACTTGTAGCTGAATTTGCAGATCCTGGCGAAGGTGGTCAAACTCCCGACCAGGTTAACAAAAATTGCAGCCTTTCTTGACACATAGTTAAGCGCAGCCGTTCGACTAAATATCATGTCAAAAATATTCGTTAAGGGATTTAGTGGACTCATTTATAATGATGGTAAATGGGCAAATGCTAATTTTTAACTTGGAAACTTCCCGGAAAAGAAAAGAAAATATTGCAATGAAAAGGGAATCGTTTCACTTTTATGGGACGAAGGAAGTATATGATACATATTAGTGATATGTGTATATGAAGAAATTGATACTTACATGAGTTTGTCGTTATGTTTGGATCTTTGTCACAGCAACAATACGATGAAAAGAATATTCGTCGAAGGGTATATGATGCGCTAAATGTTCTCATGGCTATGGATATTATATCTAAAGACAAAAAGGAAATACAGTGGAAGGGTCTTCCTCGGACTAGCTTGAACGATATCGAAGAGATTAAGGTCCACAAACCCCTTGTTATAAATCTTTCTTAGTCCCCCATAGTTTTTCCCTTTAGATTTTTAATTTTTTCAGCGGATCGATGAAGAATCCTTGCCAACACGACTTTTTTAATTAGTCCATGTTCAATGTGGCAGAGGGATCGTCTTGCTATAAGGAGTAGAATCGAGAAGAAAGCTGCGTATTTGAAAGAACTACAGGATCAAGTGAGAATTATTACTGTTTTTATGATTTGAAACTGATTATGATCTTTAATTGGTCTCTTGGAAAGATTACGTTTTTATGATGTGTCTCGAATGATGATATTTCTTTTCTGTACGATAATTCTTTATCCTTGTTTTCGTTACTTATTTGATTTCTCGTTTACAGTATGTAGGCCTTCAAAATCTGATACAACGGAATGAACAGTTGTACAGTTCCGGAAATGCTCCAAGTGGCGGAGTGGCTTTGCCTTTTATACTCGTGCAGGTACGATTGTTCGGCAAGGTTTATAATCATCTTTTCTTGCTTTTTCTACAATATGTAACAAACCAGAGCACGAGCTCAGAAGTTGACAAAATACCGACTTACATTTACTTTGCATGCTATTGGTACGACACATGACTCGTAATCTGATGATTGTAGACTCGACCTCATGCGACCGTGGAAGTGGAAATTTCAGAAGATATGCAACTGGTTCATTTCGACTTCAACAGGTGAGTGCACGTTTTTTGTTCAGCCTCCATTTCTCATTTCCACATTTCTGAACTCTTTTAAAATATCGTATAATTATATACAACAAAACTCATACGCACTCTTCACATTTGATGAGATTTGAACCGTTCAAGATTTTCCAGTAACCTGATACTGCTGGGACAAAACTCAAATTGCCTAACTTAGGGGTTGTGTGGTCGGTTTTTCATCAAATCCTATATGGATAAAGTTGTCCGTGTGGATTAATCTGTTAGTATAGATTGAGAAGGTTTTTGTTTGAGAGTGTTTTTTCATAGATGGAAGAAGCATGTTTTTTAATTGGGATAGGGAGGTTTGGAGCATAAAGCTTTCCCTAGAAGCTTAATGAATAAGTGACTTTCTATATCATTTAGCCATAACCAAACAGTCATGAGTCTCATTAAGCTGCTAACAAACATTCTCTTACTGTTGAACTGATTTGCAGTACCCCATTTGAGCTACATGATGATAACTATGTTCTCAAGGCAATGAACCTCTCAAAACGTGATGACGTGGCAAACAACGTTTCAGCGGATGGCGGTGAAGGGTCGAGCATATCTTCCATGTTTCGGCCCCCCTTGCCATCTGGCAAGCCGTCGGTTCCTGGTATACTCAAGACTCGTGTGAAACATGAGCATTAGATCATCTGTGTATCGTGTTAAGTTATTCGACGAATTTGATGCTTCATATACCGGTGATTATACTTGTTATATCGTAAATGTTGAGGATTGAGATGATAGTAACTTTATTTTTTGTGGGATCATAAAAACTAGTTGGTTTTTGTTGTAGAATGATATGATTAATAATTAATGATGCTATGAATGATACAGGTGAAAGTGATTATTAGATCTTTGAACATATCTTTATCATGATGAAAAGGTGAACATGGGTTGTGTTCTAGTAAGTGTTGTTTAACAGTTGCTGAATGGTTTGGTGTAGAATGATTAAGAGGCTCTGATGATATAGTGTAAAATGAATTATAATTGTTTCGTAATTGTTTACGATGAAATTAGGGCGTTGAATGGTTAAGAGAGGCTTAAGATACAAAATCATTCAGAAGGTTTTAGAACTATTGAGAGACGATCTTTTTATGCCAAACAAGATTCATCTTTTAACGTTCAGATGTTGTCTCTTAATGGAACTATTAAGTCACCTTTTGAACCATTATTCCACTTTCAGACAACTCTATATATAGTTGTATCTAGGTTGGGTTTGCCGGGTTGGAGATATTTGAATAACCGATCCCGATTCCAGCCGAAAAAGTTGAGCTCGGTCAAGTTTTATTGTAATCTATTATGGGCCACTGGTCCCAGCCATTAATTTTTTTTATTTTTATCTTTTTAATGATATATTTTTAATACATTATAAAATTTGTAATTCATTCACTCAATTACACTTAAAAATTGTGTTTTATTATAATTAAAAATTATATTGGCTTACAAAATATAGCGAGAAACCGATAATCGTGACTTTTTTTTTTGCATTTTTCGCGAATCGAGAACTTGGTATGTGTAAATCCTTCCATCAAGACACTTGTATATAATGTTTAGAAAGCAAAAAATACAAAAAAACCCAAAAACGGCTAGTTTTTTAAAAAATAACGACCACATTTAAGAAAAAAACGCTACATTTTTTAAAAATCGGGCCGGGCCGGTCCATAACCAGTCCCAGATTTCAGTCCTATAACCGATCCTTGCTAGTCCCGGGATGGGCCGGTTCTTTAGCGGTCCAGTCCCGGGCCGGACCAGTTTGGTCATCACGAATCCCTAGCTATATATCGTTGGCGTTTCCCGTTGGGCATCAAGTGTCGGCCCAATATCAGGATTGGGTTTCATGGCCCAATTTCGATCGAGTAAAATAGCGTGAAAAGCTAACGGTTCGTCCCTTTGGCATCGAAAACCCTAGGAATTAGGGGTTTTCAAAGAAAAATTCCCAATTTGCAGCTGCGGAAGGTAAGATGGGAGGCAAATGTCCACACAGAAGGGTGAAGAAGAGAAGATACTCACACAAAACCTTTCGTCGTGATAAATTTCTCGTTAAAGATATCCTTTGTTACTTCTTTTCCTTTTTACTGCAAATTATCGTTATCTTGTTCGTGTTTTTCCTTGACTTTGTGTTTCTCACGTGATGATGCGGTTTATGACGAGCTTAAAAAAACCGAGGGCGAGACGGTGGCCTTGCCATTAGATGAAGATCTTCCTGGGATGGGTCAATACTATTGTTTACACTGCGAGTATGTGATTGAATCATATCATGTTTTCATTCGAAATTATTTTGTGATTAGGGTTTTGTATTGTGTTCTTAATTTCAAATAATGTTCCTTAATTTCAGTCGGTATTTTGCGAACGTGACAGTGAGAGATGAACATTTTAAGACGAAACGACACAGGAAGCGGTATGTTGTCTCTTTTGTAGTTGCTTTTTGGTACTTTATCAAATCAGCTATTTTGCTCCTAAATTTGTTTGTGGCAACTATTATAAATCACTAGAACCAAAACGATCATCTACTTTGAAGTTAAAGGTTGAACCTAATTACTTTCCAAATGGGCATTATTAGCGAAAATCTTGTAGATGGCATTCTAGAGCTCGAGAAGCATTGAGTTGATACTTGGTTCTGTTTGCACCTTATGAATATTATCGAATCACAGCGTTCCACTAGTGTGTACCACTCGTAGACTAATCGGGCTTTATTTTCGTGTTGCAAACTTCTGGAATGGCGTTGATGATTAGTGTTCGTATAAAATTTTCTAAACATGCATATAGAAGTTGTAGGAACACTCGTTGTACAAATATATGGTTTTCTCTGTCGGTTTCCTCCCTTCCCTTATTCTTGATGGACCATGCCATTGTTGACATAATGTGGATCATAGCAATTGTGGTAAGATTTTGGCTTCCACTAGTAAGTAAATAAATTTTTTGGTTCTCGATGATCTTTTTTCATTAGTTTTTTGTTCGTTATAGTAAAACTCTACTCTTTTTTTCAGTGCTTGAATTTTGAACGAATATACTGGAATCGTACTCAAAAAATTTATTTACCCGCCATGATTTCATATTTTTGTATTACTGCATTAGTTTTTTCTTATATTTTAGTTCTTGTACGCCATTCTTTTCTTGAACTTCTCTTGCTGTTTGCAGCTTGAAGATAATGGCTGGTCCTGCACCGCATACCCAACTTGATGCGGACCTGGCAGCTGGAATGGGCATGCCTGATAATGGGCCTAAGCTAATGTCGACGTGAGCCCAGTTAATGTGTCTATTCATACTCAATGTTTCTCAAATTCATATGCAATGTAAGAATCATTTGTTTTTAAGTCAGTGAAGCTAGTTTCTTAAATCCGGATATGTGTGAGTTCTTTTTGGTATTAGTATATTATGATCATAAAAAGGTCATCTATCTTGTGTCATTGAAAGTTAAATTAGGGTAAGGATGGAAGTATATTGTTATTAATGTTTATGCTTTTGCAATTATAAGACACAGGGAGAGCTAGGAAAGATCACTATTTATCCAATCTTCTGAAAATTAATCTCTTTTTTTTTTGTCTCTGACATAAAGACTTCATGAACTGGAATAAACATCGTTGTCACTCCTTGCACGTTGGTATGTTTCTGATTTGTACAGTGCATGCAGTTCCATATCGTGTACATAGGTAAATACCAAACTTGATTAGGGGTAACTGGTAAGGCCACATGGCTTAGGGCCTGTTTTTTAGCCGCTTAATGACTGAATGGGACTTGCAGCTTATCCGGTATACAAGTCTGTTTGGTAGTGGCTTAATCAGTAAGCTTTTAGGTGGGGAGCCTTATGCAGAAGTCAAGTTTTTCCCAACCTGCGTCTCCCAATTAAAAAACACTCTCTTAAATCATTCCAAACAAAAATCTTCCCAATCTATACAGATAGCTTTATCCATACAAGACTTGGTGGCTGTTTGGCTGATTTTCCATTATGTTCTGTATGGATAAAGCTGTCTGCGTGGATTAATATTTTCGTATTGATTGAGAAGTTTTTTTTCATATATGGAATAAGCGTGCTTTTTAATTTGAAGGGACAGGTTTGGAAAAACCTGGCATTCTGCATGAAGCTCCCTCCTGGAAGCTTACTGAATAAGCCACTTTCTATATATTAAGTCACTACCAAACAGTCATGTATAGATGACTGAATAAGCCGTGAGTCCTTTTAAGCTCATTAAGCTGCTAACAAACAAGCCCCTTGGTATGAAGACTAGGAATGAGATTGATCAGGGAGACTTCTTTGAGTGCGCCTGCTTTTGCATTCTTAAACAGTTTGAGACGTAGGACATTAATAATTCTCATGTATTTTATACTTGTATCGTAGGAAGTAGAGTATGATTTCTTCTTATTACTAAGAAGTGAAAAACAGCGCTAGTCTAACACCATATGAATCATTCATGGATCACAAAGCAATAGTTTGCAAATTTGAGAAGTGGATACAAGACCCAACTTGTTATTGCACTTATAGCTACAGTAGTGTTTGCAGTATCTTTTACAATTCCAGGTGGGTACATTGTACGCCAAAACACCAGCATACCACAATAACTATAAGCAGTTAAGCCAACAGTCGATTGTGTCTTTTATCCACTTCTCACCTTCAGAAACTAGCGTTTTCTGGTTCTCGGTGAATTGCACATATGTTGTTCAGCTGGCTTTGCTTCTCTTTTTATGTAATAACGAGGAATCATACTCTACTTTCTACAATATTACTATGAACTAAGATTTTGTAAGTCGATGATTCTTGATGTAGATTGTATATAAATGGTTAACCGCTAGGTTTTGGGTAGCACAAGTGCTTTTCCTTTCGTACAGTCGTGTTAACTATAGAATAGTATAGTTGTTGTGAAAACTTTACTCTCCTGGGCCGGGGGTACCGCCGCACCGGCACTGCAACAGGGTTATGGACCACTAGAACCCCACCATTGATACGGGGTTATTATATAGCCCAGCCCCCACTCATGTCTTAGGCCTAACCACACCATTGGTACAGGGTTCAGATATAGCCCCTCCCTCCTCTTTCTCATGTCCTTGGCCTAACTATGCTTTGTTGCTATCAGTGTTTCCACCATCACGTGAAACCCATACTTCCAATCCTTGTCCATTTTCTTAACTACCATATCTTTCGTTTTCATGAATGCATGTGCCTGTCACGTGCTCTTCATGTGTTATGGATTACACCGACACATGCTTTTGTTCGTTACACCTAGTCGGTCTCTATGCATCGCAGGTAATTCAGCCGTGCACAAATATGTTTAAAACACTTGATTTGAAATTAAAAAATCTAAAATATAATTAACATAATTATTGAGATCTAACAGAATAATTAATTATTCTCTTTATAAAAAAATATATTATTAAACTAAAAATATAACAATGAATTAAAGAAATATACAAAAAAAAAATTAATAGTAAGTTTGTTGTTAATATCAATATATTTTTTTAATTTTTTATAATTTATTCAAAAATAAACAGTATTGTTTTCTCAAAACCATATAAAACTATATTATGACATCGATACAAAAAAATGAAATATTAAAATTAAGATGTATCTTATCATATTATATGAATATCCTTCTAATTATTAATTAATATACCAGGTTATTCCGAAATAATATATAAATAATGAAGAATGATTGTGTTTCCATGATTAGTGGTGGAATAATATTGTCGTTGAAAAAGCAACATGCAATGGAAAATGTAACATAAGTGGGTGAAAAGCTTGTTTGGAAGCTACACGGCATTTTTTAATCTTTGTCCCAAAATTGTGGAGCATGTGGGCTCCAACCATTCACATCAATCTATTAACGATATAAAAAATAAAGAAAAACGTCTATCAATTAAAAAACATCTTCTTTTTGTCTATCGAAAAAAATCTTTTCAAACTAAAACATTTTAGATGTATATAGACAGATTAGTTCATACAGACAACTTTATTCATACAAGATTTAACGAAAAACCAATCAAACAATTCCTTTCTTTAATAAACAACAGGTTCAAGTTTGTATTTTGTGAGAGCAGACATTGAACCGCTGAGTCATCTCCGAAATATCTCTTCTGCATGATTTTTAGTGGTGTCGGTCAAGGTTGCTTATAATCAATTTTATGTTAAAATCGTAATCGTTACAGATAACATCTTCAACCCGTCGTTTTCGTTTAAATTTCGGTAAATACAACCCTTCTTTTTGTAAATTTACTGTAGAATAACGTGAACTACGCTTACCAACATACATTTTTAAGTTACACCCCACAAAGATAACGAAAAATAAAACACAAAATACTTTCGTTATCTTCGGTTTTTCATATTTGTTCGTCTCTCGTAGTTGATGAACTCGAACCGGTTGATACCATCTTTATGGCCTCGTGCCCGTGTGAAAATCTCTGTAACTGAATCATCTTCGCGTAACATCCGTCTACGTAGTTTTTCAGTAGATGCGAGTGTGATCCTTGTTCTGCCACTTTCCCATCATCGATGACCGCGATGCTGTGTGCATTGCGTATCGTCGATAGTCGATGTGCTACGATTATCGTTGTTTTTCCTGAGCAAACACGCTCGAGAGCCTCTTGAATGCACTTTTCGGACTCTGCGTCTAGTGCACTCGTAGCCTCGTCTAGCAACATGATCTCGGCTTTTCTCAAAAACGCCCTTGCGATGGCCACACGTTGTTTTTGCCCTCCGGAGAGCTGCACGCCTCTTTCCCCTACGAACGTTTTGTATCCGTCTGGTAATGAGGATATGAACTTGTGAGCGTTTGCGAGGGTGGCGGCTTCCGTGATCTCGGCCTCGGTTGCCGACTCGTGTCCGTACGCGATGTTTTCATAGATTGTGGTGGCGAAGAGGCACGGTTCTTGTGGGACCACGGCGATGTGGCGGCGTAGTGACTTTAGGTTGTATTTCCGGATATCTTTTCCATCGATGGTCACACGTCCGGATGATGGCTCATAGAATCTTTGTATCAGTGCGATCACCGAGCTTTTCCCGCAACCGCTTGGGCCCACCAGGGCAAGAGTCTTTCCGGCTCGAGCTCGTAGACAGATGTCACGGAAAACCGGGATGTCAGGACGAGACGGGTAAGAAAAGTCGATGTGCTTGAGTTCCACTTCACCGCGGAGACGGTCAGGGACAGGAATCGCGTCGAGCTCATCGGGCTCGATCTCGGTTTTCCGGTCAAGAAGATCGAACACCGACTTCATTGCTCGGCCGCCCTTGATGAAATCGGGAGCAAGAGTTAGGGTCTCGGCTGCACCATTTGCTGAGACCATGAGAACCATGAACACCCGAATGGTCTTGGAGAAATCGGAAATGCCATGCTTTACGAGCCACGACGCGTACCAAAGGCCAAGCGCATACGAAGCATAGAGCAAGAACTGAGCCATCCCGAACCCACTCCCCGCTATCTGTCCCTTCCAAAAGCATCTACGAAGTGGCACATCAAGACTTGCTGTGAAAAGCTTTACGATTTTCGACTCCGAATTGAACGCTGCCACCGTTCTCATATTCGCCACTGCCTCCCCTGCGAGCTGCGTAGCTTTGGCGTGTGCACCTTCCAAATCGCCGGAAAATCCTTGCATAAACATTTTCTGTTCGAAAAACAGAAAAACTTGTTAAAATGTCCAAAAACGTTATATCAACTAATTGTTAACACCTTTGCATAAGACGCACAATTGTTTGGTCCTATAAAACAGTATATTAGCATGTTGAAATAAATTTGGCTTCTTATAAAGCGGATTTAGTTGTGATGGAAAGAAACACACCTGCAATACAGTTGCTGCAACCACCAGAGGGAAAACGGCAACGAGAACCAGGGCGAGGCGCCATTGAAGAACAAAACCGGCGGTGCAGGCAACCAACATGAGGGCGGAGTTCTGCATGATCACGGAAATTCGGTCCCCAATTGCGGACCGAACATTATTCGCATCTAGAGCCAGCCTGGCTGCTACTCTTGAGCTCTCATTCTCCTCCTGATCGAACCATGCCATTTCATTCTTCAAAACCGCATCCAGCATCTTCTCTCGAACCCTTTTCGTCAAGTTTTCTCCAACGACATCCCAGAAAAAATGCTGCAACGTGTTGAAAATAAGAGCAGCCGAAGACACCCCGATCAACAGATAACAGTATTTCCCGATTTCTTGAATCATGTATGCATGATCTTGGTTGTAGTACACGCTGAGGACAGCGCTGAGAACGTAAGCAAAAAACGCGCTCAGTGAACCGCAAATGACCGAACCCACCGAGCCTATCAAAGCGTAGGTCCATTCAGGAGAGTTCATTTTTGCGAGCCGACAGAAGGAGCTCGCTTGCTCCTTAAACGGAAGCTTCTCGAGCCGATAGTTCGGGTATCCTCCATCAACCGATAGGCTAAAGTCCGAGGTCGAGAAATCAGATAACCTCCGAGAGTACGGCGATCTCCCATAAGACGAGTTTCGGGTAATTATAGGTGAACTCACCGAGTTTCTTGCACTAGAAGGCCTAAAAAACAAGAAGCGAAAGATAAGAAAACAGCTTAAACACCTCTTACTACTGGATTGACTTTTGTAGTCAAACTTATAACTTTCAAAGACTGAAAACGCATACGTATCTTGTCGAAAAAACACCAAATATGTTTTAGATGAATTCTTGTTAATATCTTCTAATGTTATATTTGACATTTTTTCAAACAATTAAAAGGTATTCCTGTCAATTTTCGAGTCGAAAACGGGTTTGTTTGACCTCAAAAGTCAACTTGAGGTTAGTAAGTACCGTGCACTGCTCTTTCGGGCATTGTTGATTGCAGTTTCATGGGCTACTTCTTGCATCTTTATGAGCTTAGCGTAGACCCCATTTTCGCCTTTGGCAATAAGATCATCATGAGTTCCGATCTCCAAAACACCACCTTGCTGCAAAACCGCCACGAGATCCGCCTTTTGTATGGTGGAGAGGCGGTGAGCGATCACAAGAGTAGTCCTTCCGATCATGAACCGGTCTAACGCCTCTTGTACCAACTTTTCTGATTCCGAATCCAAAGCACTCGTGGCCTCATCCAAAAGCAAGATCGCCGGATTCTTTAGCATTGCTCTCGCTATCGCTATTCTCTGCTTCTGTCCTCCTGATAACTGTAATCCTCTCTCCCCAACCTACACGATAAATTTGCAAATCCGTAACTCATTTCATACCAAAATCATTCTTTTGACTTTTAAAGTCAAACATGACTTTACAAATCTACAGTTATCACACAATATACTTTAACAATCATTTACTCTATTTGACTATTTCCATAGTACTTGTTATCTCTTCCATGCCCTTATCCATTTTCCTCAAAACCTAATCCAGATTCACATCAATTTGGAAACTGGGAGGAGCATGTTTGCCACCCAAAAGTCAACAAAATGCAGGGAGTTCCATCTTTGTGATGGTCAACTCAAAGGGTTCCTAGTCAAACAAAAATCTTTGAGTTTGTCACTGTCAGTCATGTGGGGGATTCAATCTTATATAATAGTATTGATACGGTCCTCCCTATCCTCTGATTGTTTCAGTTAAGTTCTTGTTTCTTGCAAAAATCTGCACATGGACTGTTGACTGAAAAACCATGTTCTTGCTTTTCAATTAATGCATTCCCTCCAAAGAAAACTTCACCTCATCAAATTTGACTTTTACAAGCAAAAGTTAGGTTTTCTGTTGACCAAATTGGCATACATTCCATCTTTAGAATGAAAGATGAAGGAACCAACCAAAAAGCAATGAGCTTTAACTAAAGAGAGCCCCCACCTACCCTCCAAATCCATTCAAGAATCAAGATCCATCATCACCAATGGTAAAACTTGAAAGTTACCCAAGTGGGTCCACAGATTTAACAACATGGGTCTGGCTTTAAAGATTAAAATTACCAAAAAAATGCAATTAGGATACACCATTTTCTGATAAAGTGAACCAAGATTATTGATGTGGTATAGTGTTTGACTAATTGACTGACCTGAGTATCGTAGGCGTCGGGTAATTTGATGATGAACGAATGAGCGTTTGAGACACGTGCAGCTTCTTCAATCTCGACCATGGATGCGTCGGGCCGACCCAAAAGTATGTTTTCTTTGATGGTGGTTGCAAACAGTGCTGGCTCTTGGCTAACCAGACCAATATGTTGCCTTAACCATCTCAATTTGAGTCCCTTGATGTCATGCCCATCAAGCATTACTTGACCTGTGAAATCAAACAAAACTACTTCTGATCAGAAGCTTCCATTCGACATCGGGATATTATAACGTGTGCATATAGAGTTGTACAATGTCATCACCTGAGGTGGGATCATAGAATCTTTCAATGAGGGAAACAACGGTGCTCTTCCCAGAACCACTGCTTCCAACCAAAGCAATGGTTTTTCCAGCAGGAACACTCAAAGTGAAATTGTTAAGAATTTTAGTATCTGGTCTTGACGGGTATGAAAAGTCAACATTTTTTAATTCTACTTGACCTGAAACGGAATCCAACTCCAACCCCGATTCACTGTTTCTATCAACGGTTGGTTTATGATCGATTATTTGAAAGATTTTAGCCGCTGCTACTTGTGCTTTTGCAAATGCAGACATACTTGGAGCAGATTGGCCTAAAGCACTGTCGAATTCGGATGTTAGAACAGAAGACAAATTATGAGTGAAGTTTGTTCGAAATTTTTATAGAGACAAAGAGTACTCACAGTCCACCGATCATGACTGAGAACATCGTGGAAATAGCGAGTCCTCCGTTCGTGTAATGGTGTCTAACAAGATAGCCTCCATACCATAGAAGAAGTGCATAGCAACAAAAGACTGTGAAATAAGTTGCTCCTAATCCCAATCCTTTTGAAAATCCAGTTTTGTATCCAAGTTTCTGTGAGATCTTTAGTGCGGCAGAGTAGGCTTGTAGTGCCCTTGATTCACCAACATAGGCGAAAACGGTTCGAATTTGCGCAATCGTCTGAATTTTCGGACGGATCAAGAAAAGACACAGAGTGAAAAGATCACTTTTTTATATCAATAACAATTTCTTGGACAGATTCAGCTCAAATTGAAAACAACACCCAGATGTAAAAACATGAAGAAATCAACTTTCTTTTCCGATCAAGTTAAAAAGATTTGTTTTCATTGATTTTCTCTCAATTTCATGGACAGCCAGATTGAGAAACATAAAAAAGATGGATTTTTATTCTTGACCCAGACAGAAATATTCTTGAATTTAGCTCAAATTCATCAGAGTTCGTGTGATCAAAACAGAGGGAAATTGCTACTTTCTTGAATTGATTCTTGGGGTTTTAGACGGAACTCACCTGCTCAGCGATGTTTCCAGCTTCTGAAAGGGCTTGTTGGCTTTTAGAAGACAGTTTAGCTAATGTGGTGGTGTGAATAGCTCCGATTATAGCTATTAGCGGCACCACCGCAAGTGTCACCAGCGCCAGTTGCCAAACCGCCGTGAATCCCACCACAAATCCAGACACAAATGTTGCCATATAGTGTATAAAATTCCCTAACTGCCACACACAAAACACACACTTATTTATATAATCTGCTAATTAAATTAACTCTGCACATAATCCAACAACAAAAACTCAAATCTTTTTAACCTTTTCACTAATGGCATCTTGAACCATAACAGCATCAGTATTGATAGCAAATACAACATCTGAAGTTCTGACTTCTGTGTCAAAGAACTGAATGTCTTGACTCAGTGCTGCTTCTAGGTATTTAATCCTCATTTTTGTTGATTGCCTCTCTCCTGTCCACATCCAACATGATATCTCTGCAAAATAAGAAATACCCATGTCAAATATCCAATCTCTTTCAAGATTGATTAAAAAAAACATGATATCTATGCGAAATAAGATATACCCATGTCAAATTTCCAATCTTTTTCAAGATTGATTCAAAAATAGTCCCAAAAAGGTGAAAATTTAACCCAAATACCTGCCCATGAAGATGCCCATATTGCAGCTCCAACTACAAGAAAGTAAAATGCATACTGCAAAACAGAAAAAAAAAAAAAAGAAGCAAGAATTTAAACAAAAAAGTATCATCTTTTTTGATGAAAAAGAAGAGAAAGCAAGGTACCCTTAACACTTCTTGAGTCATTTTATCAGTGTCATTTGGATTGGAGCCAAATGAATTGACAAGATCAGCAAAGAATCTGAGAAAAATAGGCAAAGAACAGCCATGAACAAAGGCACCAACTGTACCAATCCCCATTAACACATAATCTAATCTATCTGCAAATCTAAACAGCTCTCCAAATCCAACTGAACTCCCCTTGTTATCTTTATCTGCATTTTTACTATTTTCTCCTTCCATTTCCATATCTTGGGTTCTGGTTTGAGTCGGTTTGTGTTGTGAACCCAAGGGTGGATTTGGGTTTTCAGAGACAACTTCAAGACCTTGCATTTCAGACCATCTCCACTGCTCTTTGCCTCTCTTTATCTTCGCCTGAAACTCTTCTGATCGCATTTTTTTATTTATTTTATGATTCTCTCTCTCTCTCTTCTTCACTTTCTCTTTTGTCTGTTTATCTTTTTCTTTCTGTTTAAGACTTTCGAATTTTATTTTTAGTTTTTTATTTATTTACTGAATTTTTTTTAATTTAATATGCAAAAAAGAAAAGCAAGTAGTAATTCTTGGACCAATTATTTGTCAAATGCAAAGTTATTTCAATTATATTATATTTTATTAATATAATTAATATTGAAATCTTAAAAATAAAAAATCTGTTGAAATCAAATGTAGACTATAAAGTTTTATTCTTTATTTTAATTTTAAAGAATCTGTTGAAAATGCTTTCATTACATCATTTTCCCCTTTGAGGTTTTACACAACAATTTCATATCTTACATTGAAGTTGATATGAAATGATAATTTTCAAATTTTTGATACGAAAAAATATATAAAATGATAAAAAAAAAATGCTATTTATTCTGAAATTATAAATTTCGATTATTGGGAATTAGTGTTATTTGTAAATTTACAGGTGGTGGAGTGTGATTGGCAGAGGAACATGTCAGATTTTTTTTTTGAATTAAATACAATAAAAAGAAGGCGTGTTTGGGAAAAACAAGTGTTTTGGTGGTTTTATTTATTTACTTTTAACTGCAACCGTTTTCGGTGCTACCAACAAGACACATAGTGAAAGTGACATATGATGTTGCACTGTTTTTTTTTCTAGCAGCTGAATTTTTATGATTAAATTCATATTGTCTCGATTAATTGTTACATATTTTAATTTTTTTTAAATTAGTTTTCGTTGAATATTATATTTTTCAATTAAAATTAAGAGGCTGTTTGCCAGTTGCAGAATGATTAAGGGTTATTTGTTTACCTCTTAATAGTTCTATTAAAAGTCAATCTTTGAATCGTTAAGAGATGAATCTTGTTTGGTAAAAAAAAAATCTGCCTCTTAACGGTTCTAAAACTCTCTGAATATGACTACTTAATGATTATGCACAAAACCATTCAGTAAAATAGTGCAAAATGAAAAAAAAAATTGTTTGGTAATTGTTTACAATGAAATTAGGATGTTGAATAGTTAAGGGAGACCCATAATACAAAATCATTCAGAGAATTTTAGAACCATTAAGAGACGAAGACTTTTTTTTTTCCAAACAAGATTCACCTCTTAACGATTTAAAAGATGTCTAATAATGAAACTATTAAGAGGTAAACAAACGACCTATAAATAACATGCTTATTTTTCTCGTATTTAAAATACAACATTTTTAAGGAAAAAATTAATGTAGTTTTATTTTTTGTTTTATTAAAAATATTTGATTATTATTTTAAAAATATAATAGAAATATATAGTTGGGGAAAATACAAGGTAAAAGCAAAAAAGGGAAAACAAAGTTTAAACTCTACAATTATTATGTCATTTCTCATCAATTTCCCACTAAATTTTGTCCCTCATTATTTAAAAAAATATTATTAATTAAATTCTAAATTTTAAAAAATAAATAAATAGAATTAGGGTCTATTTACAACTTGGTTACTGCTTCTTACTTGGGTAAGAAGTGCTTACTCGGTCAGAGATGATGTTGTTTACTATGTCCCTTTTACTAGTCCATGATGTTGATTGAGATGCTAACTAAAAATCATTGCTTTGTTTTTGAGTTTTAGAAAAAAGAAAGGAAAAGAAAGAATTTTTTTTTTATTTGTATTCTTGAGAGAGATGAGAAAGGAAATGAAAGAAAATAAGTTTTCATATTCTTAAACAGGAGAGAAATAAAATTGAAGATGTCATTTTTACAAATATACCCTTATTTATTTTGTAGTGTAATGCAAATGACAGTAAACGACAAGGGTGGTGTCTGATTGGTTTGAGCTTGGCTCCAAAGTTCAAAATTCCCAGGAGGTCCCAGGTTCAAATCAAAGAAGGAATAAAAATCCTCTTGTGGCCACTGAGGTTCAAATGCGATGACTCCGGGTTATCTGCAAAGCAGGTGGTCGTCCTGAAATTAGTCGGCTCGAATAGCAGGTTGGATATTTAGGTTAATAAAAAAACGATAGTAGAAGTGTAGTTTTATAAATATTTTCAATTGATAATTTTTTTTTTCTCTTTCCTCCCACATTTGGGAGAAAAATAACATAATTTTCCTTCCCCTTTCTTAAAAAAAACTCGAGAACACAACATTTTTTTCTTTCGACTCTACTTTCTTCCCGTTTCCCTTCATTTCCTTCTTAAAAAAACTCGAGAACACAACGTAAGAGAAAACTTTGGAAAAAAAAAAACCTAAGAACCATTGAAAATTAACTGAAAAAAAATATATCAAAACGGATATCAGATTATAAATACTGATTATCTTTTTGGTGTCATTTGTTTCACTCCAATTTTTGTTACATTTTGTCGATTTTTGATTTAAAAAATAGTTGATGATATTATTTTCTTTAAAAACGGTTATTATCTCAATCTAACGACTTAAATGAAGTATTTGGTTCTATTTTTAATCAGGGTTCTCCCGTAATCTCACCGGTATCCTTGTATCCACCCATCATTCTATTCTAGATCCATTCTAGAATGACATATATCCGTCTCATCTTTATTTTTAACACCATTAATATATATATATATATATATATATATATACTATATATATATATAGGGGTGAGTTCAAATAAAAACCACTCAATTTGTAAAAACCGTGAAAACTTCATTCAACCAATCATAATTTTTTATTTTGTTCATTTTTTTTGTAATGATGAGAGATTGATTAACCATTTTTATTGTGGAGGGTGTTAATCATGGATATTATCATCTTCATTATTTTAATTTTAGAGAAATGCATGAAACAGTTTCATTAAAATTTCATTAAGTAGTATATGAAACAATTTCATAACCACATATGAAACAACTTCATCAAAAAAAGTATTATATGAAACAATTTCACAAGATTAACAATTTCATGAAAAAATTTCATAAGATTAACGATGGATGAGAGTAGTTTTTATGGTTTTTACAAATTGGAGTGGTTTTCATTTGATCGCTCCTATATATATATATATATATATATATATTTCAAATACAATCATGTCTATTTGTACAACCAATGCAAACCAATTAATTGAGATATTTATAGAAATTGTGAGATTTTATCTATTATGATTTGAATATTTATGAAAGATGGATAGAGTTCATTAATTATAATCGATACTTTATATTAGAAAACAATCAAAACTTTTATGAAATCACATATTTATCAAATTAAATGGACGGTTGAGGTTGAGTTGTATTGGTTGTACAAATGTAAAGAGTTGTATAATTACCCACTTTTATATATATATATATATATATATATATATATAATGTATTAAATAATTCCACTAAGATTTAAAAAAAGTAATGGCCATGAAAATAGAAAAGGGAAAATGTACGGAAATCTGGGTTGCATCATTACCAACTCATTTATGAGATTTGCATAAAATTATTGGATCAATAAAGAGGAAAAATTCCAAACTTTTGAAGCCTTTAAGTTGGCATTGCAAACCTGGCAAATCTGTATCTATATGTGTGTCCATATATATATATATACATACATACATATATATATAAAATAATATGCATATGGTGGTTGATTTAAAGTATGAATAATTTGAAGAAAAGAAACCATGGCTGGTTGGAATCCATTTGTCAAGAATCAACCAAATGCCTTCCCATTTTTCTTTTAGTATCTATACAATACGACAGGAGCTGTGAATTTTAACGATTTTAAAGTTTTATTGGTTTTATTAGAGAAGATTTAACGATAATATAAATTACACTTGGTCTTTACATATTAATACAATTTAAATAAATAAGAGTTATGGTTTTAATTACAGTCTATCGATGAAAAAAAATTGCATGACAGTTTAAAATCCAACATATTTAAACGAATCCACAAATGTGTTCGATTTACACTGAGAGCAAATAATAAAGAGATCGAGAGTTCTAGAGCAATTGAATTGAAGATAAATGAGATAACTTTTAATAACTCATGATAAATATCAGTTTGAATATCACCTTGGGGGATGAGAAAAAGATATGGAGGTATGAGAGGGTGAAGACACGCATAAAATGTGTCAAAAATATATTGGAAACATGAAAAGAAAATATAATAATATGCATTGGTAATAGTGATTATACTTATCTGCAGTTAGTTACACGAATTTAAAAATAGAGCTTTAATAAGTTGTACTTACGCAAAATTACTTGTAATCTTAAATTATAAATAATATGCATCATTAAACAGTACTTCATGCATAAAAAATGGTTTTTAAATTTTTTTGTCCTAGATAAATTATTTTGTTAAGAAAAAATTAATTCGGAAATGTGACATATATACGCATATGTTTAACGAGACAATGATGGATCGTTGGTAATTATTTGCAAATAATATGCAATGATGTCTCAAACCTATTTCCTTAAAATACCCACCTTTAAATAGTACTAAATCACAAAATATATAATATGATTATGTACATAGGATTGGGTCCCGATAAGAAATAAAGTTAATATGATAAATATAAGAATTGATCTCCACCCTTGGATGCACATTAAGATGAAATGCACAAGACCAATCCCTATATCAAGCGGTGATTAATGGATAAATTTAAAATTAAAGATGATCAAGGGTCCAGATCGTTTCTTACGTTTCTTACGTTAATTCTCCTTCATGCACAATCCTTCACCTATGTATAACAAAATTGAGAAATTAAACCATGTTTGAGTATTGTAAAATTTTCGTATGCTTCATAATGTTTTATTAGGATTAGTATCGTGTAACGAATAAAAATTTAATGAGAATTATATAAATGTTATAAAAAAAATGTTAACATAAGTTGACATCAAATGTTTACATACATACGTACATATATATATATATATAGTCAGGTTTTGGAAAATCATAAAAAAACAAAAAAAAACCAAAGAACACTTTAGCAAGACAGCAACCATTCATCTGTACGTTATGTACATATCATACAAA